ACAATTCATAGTCGAAGTTTGGAGAGAGCAGGGTATGGAGCTGGAGCAGACAAGGCAGGGGAATAAGAGACTCTGGCCATTGTCGCCTTTCATGCACGCGACGTGCCCTCTGTGCCCTGTGTGTCTGCTGCAGTGAAATGGAATGATAGCCTTACACTTGTGTATGCTAGGTTTGTGTGCAGCAAGTAAGGAAAGTGTCATCATTATGCAGAGAATTCATGTGAGTCATTTGTATCTAATGATAAAACCGTAAACAAAGGAAATTTTGAACTTGGGTGGGTTACTGATGTCCCAAGTTGAAAGAGCCAATTCCTTTTAAAAATAGGAAGGGTAGAGGAAGAGCAAGTCTATACAATAGTAAGAAACACCATGTAACAATCTTGGTCATGGTCAAAAATGGCTTTTGTGTAACTAAGATGAAGACTAATACAGAGCGAGTTTTCATTGCAAGCACTGTGTGTTTTGAGTCATTTAGTTCATACATTAACCCTATTAGATAGGTATTATTAACTTTCTATTGTATAGATAAGGAAACTGAGGTTTGGGCACATTAAGCAGCCAGTTCAGAACATCACAGCTAGTATAAAAGTGTTAAATATGCCAACCTTTTTTTAAAGTTTTGCTCTATATTTAGTCATGATGAGCTTTTCTCTAGATACACAAGCCGTACTTGAGACCACAGCCAGCAAATAACAAGAATAATGTTTGTACATAACCTTCCATGTGGCAAGCACCGTCCTAAGCTTTTTACCTGTACAAACTCCTATAATCCTCACACGACAATGCTATTTGCTAATCCCCAATTAAAGATGAGGAAACCGAGTCACAGAGAGGTTAAGTAACTCACTCAAAGTCACACAGCTAATCGTTGGAGAAGCCAAGATAGAATCCAGGCAGCAACCTCAGGCTTCGGTCTGTCCTAAATGGAAACCTGGACCGTGCTGAGTGGACCTGGAGTCCGGCATCACCCAGCGGGAAAGTGTGAGGGACACTCATCTGCTGATTTTATGCAAACGGTGGGAAGCGGGACAGCCAGGTTGCAGGGGGGCGGTGTCTCTGCTTGTGCCTTTAGCTCTGTTTGTGCATCTGCACATCACATTAGTAGAGATGAATGCCATTTGGGGTCTGCCCCACCCCAGTAGAATGACCTCATACAAAAGGGAAAGTAGTAATCCGGCCTCATTAAACTTGCTGTACTGACCTGCTGAGGCTCACTCAGTGGGCCAGGCTGGGCCTGGGAGCAGCTACCAGAGGCCCCTAGGCAGGCGTCAGGACCCCGGGCTGGGCGGACCGGGGAGGGTGACACAGCAAGTCCCTCCTACGCCTTGTCCACCTTGGCGATATCCTCAGCAAGTACCGAATGTGGCGATGCAATTTCCCGTCTCACTGGGAGCTCCTGATCTACATGGAACTAGCCAGGAGAACAACTCGGAGCGAATAAATGAAAGCCTAACCTGCTGCCACTTCAGAAAGGTTGCTGACCACTGGCTGGACGCCAGCCTCCGAGAGTCCACAGTTAAGAAGTGTCTCTGAGCTGATGTCTTTGCCTCCTGTGGTTTCCTCCGCCCTCTGGCCTGCATTGAACTAGAACGGGTATGAAAGACACCTATCAAAGAACCAGACCCAGTGACTTCCAGGATCTCAAAAGTCTCCTAAGTACAGATCATCCACTGTTGCAAAGCAAAGGGTAGAATCCATTGCTCCCCACAGACATCACCGTTGTGAGCAGTGTGACACCGAGAGCTTATGCTCATTATTTCATAACATAACAGTTTACCTCCCTTTTTAAAAAAATGATGTTTTTTAATATAAGTGTTGCTCATTATCAGAGAGATAAATCGAATTTTTTTTTTTTTTTTTAAAGATAAGCAGTAATGGTTTCTTGAAGGTGAATCAGTCAGGTAATTTTTGTCTTTGTCTTCCAGTTCTTAATAGAAAAGGAAAATTGATGTAAAGTTCTTTTTTTTTTTTTTTAAAGAAAACATTTGTATGCACTCTCAATCTTTAATACCAGTTTTAAATCCATAAAATTTATCGAATGCTCAGTGATGATGGTCATGATGATGATGATGATGGTGGTGATAACAAGTGTCATCCACTATTTACATGTGTCGCATGGCCTTTTAATCGAATTCTCAGAATGACTCTGCCTTAGCCAAATGACAGTTAGGCAGCCTGGGTTTTCATCTCAGCATGAGAACTGGCTTCCCAGTTCCACTTGCCAGGCTCACCTACCAAGCTGCGAGACCTTAGTGAAGTTGCATAATCTCTCTAAACTTAGTTTCCTTGTCCATACAACAAGCTTGAGAATAATAGCTGAGAGAGTTGCAAAGAGTAAATGAGATGACGCACTTAAATAAATCACTACTCATAAGTGCTCATTACCTGAGACTGTTGCTGCTGGTGGTAGGTAGCCTTCCCCATTCTGCACCTGAGGCAACAGCCTGGAGAGGCCCAGAAACCGGGCCCTGGTCCCTGGCGAGTAAGGGGTGGAAGCAGGATTGGAACTTCAGGGTTCATGTCTGCAAAACCCTGGAGCTCCTAAGCGCTCTGCCATCCCACAGACACGTCGGGCTGGGTGTCTTTAGGCCAGTATTAGATTCTAGCAGCTGCCCTGCTAAGGTTCTGCCTTTGCCTCTTGAGCCTTTCAATAATATAAGCCCTTAAGTCTTTTCACCAACCGGGTTGCCCTTTTTAAACTTGATTCAACAAAATATGTCCCTAGTGCCTATGAAATTCACAGGTAAGCTTAGTAATACGGTACAGGGTGTGCAGAGTTTTATGAGGTAGGATTATGCTTTGCCTGTCACATGAGGTGATTCTGCTGGGGTGAACCTGAAGTGACATTCATCTTCATTAATATGACTGCTGTTACGAACACACATCTAACGTGTCATTTACTGCCTCGTCTTTGGTCTGTCATGCTGCCTTCAGGTTTCTCTCACTCATACACACCCCAAAATCCCTCTCTCCTTCTATTCTTCCACATATGAAATGAGTTGTGCAGCTGAGGCAGATATCTTAACCTTTATCACCCCCTCATCACCCCGCTCCCCACCCAAGACATAGTTGGACAGAAACGCCCACGCTGTTTACTGGTGGAACCACAGTCCTTCTCCGTCTCTATTATGTGCACAGATCTGGCTACAACCCTTTCTTCTAAGGCGCTTCCAATTTTGTGTTTTGGGCAGTGCTCTCTGCCCGCTGAACGAGCTTGTAAAACGCCAGGTCCTTGCATTTCCTTCGCGGTGACACTCCATTACGTATAGAGTTCTAACGGAAGGAGAACCGAGGGTCCAGCGCGATTGACTCAAACATTCAACATTAAGGTGCTACCTTCACGTTCAGAGTTTTCTTTTATATTTATTATGTTATTTTTAAATTGTTAATGACCGATTAATAATTTAATTGGGGGTTAGTCTATCAGGCCTCTCCTCCATGTTTGTGGAGAATGGCATTGCATTTTTTTTCCTCAAGACTCTATGACTCGGCATAAAAGTATCTGAAAATAGATCAGTCCTTCCCCCCAAGAACCAAATTATTGACCTGTGCATTTTTCACATTCATGCCGCCTTGTTTTTTGCCTACTTGCTTTTTGTGCCTTTCGCACGAGATTACAAACTCCTCTGTAGAAGCGTTGACCTGTTCGTTTTCGCATTCCTGACACATGACAGTCTTCTAGTAACTGCTTATTGAATTGAATCTTTGATTTCTGAGCTTTTCTCTACCTGCTTTGTAAGATTAATTATTTTGGCAGTAGTTATATCAAATTCAAAATCACAGAACTTCAGATTTTCTGAGTTAAAATAAGTAGCAAAGCTACTAATTTGGACTTGCATAATATATGTGCATATGTGTGTGTACAGATAGATGTGGGTAGTTTATATCCATGCGCATACCTTGTAAAATAGAAAGTGAGTGGTTCAGACATTTTCAAGATGGTTCAGTGGAGATGCCCAGTGAGTTTTCTTTTATTGCTTTGAATGAGGGTAGAGGGAGGGAAGCGATGTAGGGACCAGGAAGGAGAGTATGTCCTTTCCTTGATTTTTTTTTTTTGCATTTAGTTCGCAGTTATGGAAAAGAGACTCATTCAGGCATTTGTTAGTATACTAAGAAAGGCAATATATTACGTTGGATTCTTTTCAACGGGAGTTTTGATTGTTCTTGAATTCTCCTAGAACGTGGTTTGCACGAAGTTAAATAGAATAATCCACAGTGTTTTAAAATTATGTCTGTATTTTACCATACAGCACGAGCTGGAATTTTTCTGCTTATGACCCATGTTTTGATAGTCACCCATTATTTTCAGTTGGTCAGTGTAAGTACAGGTTAGTTGCTAGCTCACTGCCCTCTTGTTTATTTGTAAAGGCAGAACTTCTCATCTTAATAGGTTTTATGCTAAATGAAGACGTTTTCCTTTGACATTGTCCAAATGAAAACAGAATTTCCTTCTTGGCACAGTGGTGAGCAGTCCGGCTTGGAAGGGCAATAGCTAACCTCTGGCAGAAATTAGATATGATTATAGGTGGTGCTTTTCTGAGACAAGATAACATGTTATTTGTAACATGAACCCAGCAAAGGCTACCCAAAAAGTGTGGGGGATGTGGAGTTGGGTTGTACCAGTAAGAAAATTGAGGGTTCTTGACAATTCCAAGAATACGAATTCTATACTTAGAAGACTTCTTGTAAGAAAGGGAATCTAAGAAAGCAGTCAGGTACATTCCGAAGAAAACCATGAAATCTGTTACAAAAGCCTTATAATACCGAGTAGGGCTGACCCTCCATTCCTAGTGGGAATGCTTCCAGCGGTCATAGCTCACTGGTGCCCCCTTGCGGTAATCAAGCCACCTCACCCGTCCTTACCGTGGGTAAGACCCCTGCAGTAAATAGGGCAAACTCAGTTTCCACGAGTAGAAAGTTAAGCTCCAGGACTGGCTTGCGAAAGTGTCCTTTAGATTTCATTCGAGCTTCTTTCTCATTCTTTTTCTCATTTGTTTCAGGCCAAAGAACTGCCAACTTTAAAGGATAATGATTTCATTAATGAGGGCCAAAAGATTTATATTGATGACAACAACAAGAAGGTATTCCTGGAAAAACTGAAAAAAGATGTTGAGGTAAGAAAATACAATATAAAGGAAAGCCCCGTTGTATAAATGTCAACTCTGTTGCTTTTTAGGAGCTTTTGAAAACATCTATTTAAAGCTACAACAAAAGGGAACATATACGGTACATTATCAAATTCAGATATAAACAGGTATGTCTCACATGTGATCTGGTTTGAAAAAGAAATGTGCTGGTTCAGCGGCTCTCTCTTTTAGGCGACAGATGAAAGTGTCTGCTGTCTTCTGCTGGGTACCCCCACCCTTGGGTTCCCATACCTTGGGCTGGTTGGAGATGGCCTGGGCTGGTGGACTAGCCTAGGCTGGTGGGATAGCCTGGGCTGGTGGGATAGCCTGGGCTGGTGGAATAGCCTGGGCTGGTGGGATAGCCTGGGCTGGTGGGATAGCCTGGGCTGGTGGACTAGCCTAGGCTGGTGGAATAGCCTGGGCTGGTGGAATAGCCTGGGCTGGTGGGATAGCCTGGGCTGGTGGGGATAGCCTGAGCATAGTTAAATCCCGTTCAGACTGACTCCCCACGGGCACCTGAGTTGGGGTGGAGGGGAATGACTGCATTCACTCCAAACAGCAGAGCATTTCAAAAACAAATGTTTAGTAACTGTTTGAATTTGGGGTTTTCTCCATTGAAACCACAGCTCAGTGTTAGTAAACATAGCCTCGATCACTTAAAGCTTCACTATTTCCACCAGCCCCTGTGAAATTCGTGTCACTAGGTCCATTAAGCCAGCCCTACACATCGTGGGAAAGAGCACAAAGGCAGTTTGTACGCCAGGGTCACGGTGGAGGGGTGAGGGGGAGGTGCGAAAAATAAAATACTATGCGGAAATGGACTTTAAGTCTATAATGGATTTTTCTTTTTAAATACTTTTTTAAGAATGAAAATATACCTTTTTCTTTCCTTTTCTTTATTGTAAAGGCATTACAGCTCTCTCATTGGACTTCCTTATATAATTCTTTTAGAAATACAGGAAAAAGTTATTTTCTTGAAACTTGTTAGGTTACAAGACAGTGCAAAGAGAATTCTAATTTAGAGTTACTAAACTAAGTTTTTTGTAGCTGTTACTTTTGTTCATATGAATGCATATGTGTGTGTGTGTGTGTGTGTGTGTGTGTTTACTTTGAAATACAGTTCCCCAAATACCAGTACGGATCTACTACAAAGTGGCTTTGTGGATTTTTTTCATGTCGTAAAACAAAAACAATTTAAATGAATTGAGCCAAAGAATGTATGTCATGCATTGGATCATATTCCTCATGAGGGCAGAAGCAGCATAAAGGTTTCCTTTTTAATATTTTAATATCTCCTTCATTGCAAGACACACTGACCAAGTTAGTTCATATTAGATTTAGTCATCAAGTATTTTAATTTTAAAAATTTACCTAATTTTAACCATGGTGTATATGCTTCATTCAGAACCTACATATTGGTTATGTGTGAAAGATATGTGTCTGCTTAAAATAAAAAGTAGATAAAAGTGTTTGCTTTCATCATATAAAATTTTTTCTCCAGTCTTTCATTAATAAGCATTTATTTTTTCTCATTTGTCAAGGGTTATTAATAAAATGATAATTAGTTAAGCATTTCCTTTGGGGTTAACTTGACCTGACTGATAACTAAGTACTATAGGTAGATATGTTCTCTTTTGAATTTTTATTCATTAATCAGCAAATTTTTAATCCTGAGGATAATATTGTCTTAGCAGTTATGGTTAATAGCCCTTAGGGTTATCTGTGATCTGCCAGAAAATTGTATTCATCTTTTTTTCTGTTGGCTGTATATCACTATATGATAGACTCCAGAAATAATGTAACAAAAGCAGTTGAGATTTACAGTTAAATTACATAAGGATCCTCTTAGGCCTTTTTGTTGTCTCTAATAATCTCGTTGATTAGAGGATTTGGATAGTTTAATCCCTTACGTGGCTGTCGCAGTTAGCTGTTTTGTTGAAATGGAAGCAGAGCATAAAGGTTCTTTCATTTTTAAAAATTCTCAATGGTTGATAAAAGTGTCTTTAGTTTTGAAATTCATGCCGAAGCATCATTAAATTTTTAAGCAGGTAATTATGGTGAAGTAGCTTGACATCTGATCTTGATAATGAGGCTAGAACTTAATCTAGTGTACTTTTTTCATCAGGTCCATGCTTTTTAATTTAGCTGACTGGCTGTTAGTGTGAGTGCAGATTTTTGAGGGGGAGGCAGGGCTGGAGAGTCGGTCTTTTTGGTTTTAACTTAATGCTGAAAGTAAAAGATAAGTTAAACACAGCTCAATAAATAATCCACTTTTGTAGAGAAAAAGAATTGTCATGTGAGACTTGAGCTGCTTTCTTCTTGCAATTAAAATCCTGTTCTATTGGTCTGCCACAAAAAGTACTTCAGTTCCTAGCTAAATTTATGTGAGCCCTTTTCTCCACAAGAAAGATTGAAAATCGCCGTCGCCTTCTGACCTGCTTATTGTCGGTTCTGATCGTGACCGTGAACTCCTCTCATCGGTCCACACTGGGATCCCAATGTCACCCAATGCAAAACTGTGCTCTTTCTATTGTGTCCCTAACGCCCCTAGCCCAGGACCTCTCACCTCTCGCACTGCTGGTCCCGCAACCTTGGCCGTGGGTGGGAGCGAGAGGGTGGCAGCCAGCATTTACGGAGCGTGGACAGCCCGAGTCCTCGCCCTGCAGTCGTGCCCTCTCTTCATTGTTATAACAGCTCCTTGAGGATGTGTGCTGTTATGATCCCAGTCTATGGATGAGAAAACTGAGTCCAGAGACACTATGGAATTTGCCGGAAGACAGAGCTACTCAACTCAGTCTGGGATCTGAGGCCACACTCCTAAACGGCTCTGATATGAAAATGCCAATTGAAAATGTTTGTGAGCGCAGTCGAGACTTTGTTTTCTGATCAATGCTCCAAAGGAGGATTATTATAACTTTTAACAAGTGATAAACTATAACTCTTAGAAACAGCTGGTTGGAATTTTAATTCCATGTCACGAATGTGTTGGGGTAATTCAGTGTAGCAAAAGTGTTAATAAAGTTTGCAAATAAAGCGAATTTAAATGTGTTGTGAAGGAAGAGTTTATTCGTGGCTTTTTTGCCACATCGTCTTCTAGAAGAGTTTGTGACAGGGCTCGTAAATCTCGAGGAAGGTACTGGCTCAAAGATGTGGTGTAACAAGGAGTTAGTTATGAAGGAATCAGATTAGATGAAATAGTCTGAGGGAAAAAGAGGCTGATCAAAGATCTGACACATAATTATTAAGAAACTGGAAAGGAGGAAAAGCAGGGGACCTAAAAGATTTAAAAGTCTTCATGCTTTGAAATCTCATGTACTTAAAAAACACCAATAAACTTGAGTCAGAAGCTTAAAGGGATGAACAGAAACTGAGCAAATAAGTATTAAGTTCCTCACTAGAGCAGACGCCGGCGGTGGGACTCAACCCTTTTCCCTCCTCACAACCTGTAATCTTCCAGTCCACGGCAGTTTCCTGGTACCTAACGAGAATTTTTTCTAACAAGAATCTCAGCTTTATTGCCAAATTTTATTTCACTCTACTTCAGAAGAGATTTTAAACAAAGTTGATGAAGATAAGAGCTGATGAGCCAACGGGTGTTTCCACGTGTTTCTCCCGTTGGCTCACCGAACTCGTGGTTTAAATTGCGTGCTTGGTGGAAAAAGGCCTTCTACCATCCTGGTGACAACGTGGACCGTTATAACAACCGCTTCCATCGTTACGTATTTCTTCGCCGCAGCTACATCCTCTTTGTGATCCTTTCCACACCCCTGTGAGCTGAGTGCTGTTATCCCATTTTATAGTTAGAATAACAGGCTCAGAGAGGTGAACTTTTTGACAAGACACGGAGCTCGGTGAGAGAAATAAGACCTAATCTCCCATGCGACTCTAAAACCTAGCCTCTTTGTTTTAAAGATGATCTGATACTTTAATTAAAGAAGAGTGAATCGTCACCCTTAGCAACAAAACCCGCGCTCCCAGCCACCACGCCGTCCCTGCTCTTTCCTTCTCTGTCCCAGGCCCATGGATCTGAAAACTTACATAATACCAGTCTGGTCCTAAGTTGGTTTCCTAGATCTTACGGCGTTGTCACGCCTAGTGGGCAGTGCTGGTAGCTAACTCCACCTTTACTTATTGGCGACGATTGTCTCCTCACTGGTCTGACCTCAGGAGGGAGGCCCAGGAGAGGCGCTCCAGCCTGCCAGACGAGCGAGCAGCACGGACACCAGGGGAAAGCGTCCACTTCGTGAGCCGGTCAAGCCCCGGATGGCACCCCTCCCCTGTCTGACCCTTGGCAAGTTAATTACACGCAGCCCTTTACTTTTGTACATAAAGTGCACTTGAAAGTATATTTGAAGGTCAACTGTCCGAAGGTCTCAAACAGCAGGTTCTGTTCTCACAGCAAAGATAAATTGTAAATGGCGTCATTTTGCTTCCGATAGGTGCTGCCTCTTACAGTCTCGGACGGGATTTTTTGTTATTACTTTGTTCTTTGTTTTTATGTGGTCAGGGTAGTTATTGTTTGGAGGAAGGGGTTGGGGGAATTAGGGAGAGTTAAAGAGGACTAAGGAAAAAGAAGCAGGCTTCCCATCCACTTGTCCAAAAAGGATCAAGTACCTACTATCGCTTCCTGGGACTCAGGAGTGCAGTGAGGACAGAACCAGCCCCCTGCCTTCACGGGGCTGCCGTATTGAGGAAGACAAGTTGCTCAGATAATCTAACAAGATGAATGTGCAGCTAAGCCAAGTGTCATTAGGAGAAAGTGTACAGGGCCATATGTGCCCTTGCTTTGGGACGTGGCCTGGGCAGAACCAGGAAAGCCCTCCTGAGCAACTGTCTCTGCAGCTGAGACCCGATAGTCGAGCGGGAGGTGGGGGGTAGGGGGAAATGTGGGAGCAGGGTTCAGAATGGCCCGAGAGGTGATGGGGCCACACTAGTCAGGTCCCCTGGGCCACATTAGAATTTATTTCTGCCCTTCAAGAAATGGGACACCATTGAAAGGTCTTAAGCAGGGGTGCAATGAGATCAAATTTGCATTTTGAAAAGATGTTCCCTTTCTAGAGACTGGAGGGATAAGTTCT